CGGAACCGCTGGTGGGTCTGTGGTGACAGTGACCTTCAACTCAAGGTGAGAACTAGTCAAATTGCTATTACTTTCAGCACAGAGCAAAACAACCCAGTTCAGAAAACAAGTATTTAAGGATCACACTGCCCCTGTGCAATACTCAGTAGAAGTGTTTCTTTCTCTTCCCCCCCAATCATGAGGAAAAATATTTACCTAGCAGTTTTTAAACTTTCTTATTCATAGAGATTTGATTTTGAAGTAATTTAAAACTGGTGAAAGTGTGCTACTGTTTCTTTAGTACTGAACCATCACTTATTAGAATAACTCAGAGTCCATTTGTTTCTCTTCAGCACAGAAATTCAGCTGAGCCCAGCTGTTACACAAATCACATTTCACATGGTCTTCCTATTCATTCAAACTTCTTCCTTGTAAAAGGAAGTTTTTAAGAAACAAATTGTCTATTTTCAGCAGGTCCTTTATGAAAGCGTCATTTTCAATAAATAAGAAAAAACAAAGACATTGCACACAGGTCTGTTCAAGAGCATTCTACACTAGCCAACAAAATGCTGAAACTTGCTGTGTTGTGTTGCCCTCTTCAGGTCGACAGCATATTTTCTAGCTATTTTCATTGACGAGGTATTGCATTGCAATTTCTTTCATAATATTTTTCAGATCTGAAGTTTCAAGCAGTAGCTAACTTCACCTGTATTCCACCAATGCTTGAAGCATTTTTGGTTTAATATCCTATAAAGATTAACTTTACTTTTGCTCTTTATATCTCCCTAATCTCAATACTAATTTGAGGATTATCAAACTACCAGCCAGCATTTGAAAAGATGACTAAAAACCAACTTCAGTACTGATAGGAAAGTCTCATGACAAGAGGCTTAAAAAGCTGAATTGATTCAGCCTAGCAAAGAAAGGTCCTGATACCAGTCCGTACGTGAATATAGGCGATCAGAAAGTCACATGACTTTAAAGTGGGGTAAGGCAAAACAGAATCTAGAAACTGAAGTCAGAGAAATTCAGACTTGAAATGCCATGGAGACTTTTCAACAACAAATTTAATAATCTACTAGCATAAAAAGGTAGATTCGTTATTACTTGAAAACTCTACAGGTAGACCCAGTATCTTTCCAAACAATCTCTTTTGATCTGTTTTTTAATAGTTGCCATAACATGGCCCAAACTGTGCTTTTGATTTGCATACTTGCAATGGGTTTTGCAACTGATTATCTGAGCTCTGCCAATTAACGCGGAAATATGGATGAAACAGTCTTCAATTGCTTGGAAATGGCCATGCTTGAGCTTCTGATTCACTTATTGAGACACATATTAATAATGTCTTAAAATATTTTATTTCCCACTCCCACTTTTATAGGGCAGGTCACAGTAAACATTTATGTTGACTTAGACATCTCAATACTGCAGGTTTGACATAAAGAGCAAAGTGTTGAATTTAACTTATATATTATTAAGTATGGAGAATTTCACTCATGTTACAAAGGAAGATAAACATTCTCCCAATTTGTGACTGTACAACTTCATCTCAACATCTTAAGGGACTTATGATAGGAAAACCTGTTCAAAGTTAAGGCCTACTATGTAATTATAAGCAATAACATTAATAAGCTAATCAAAACCCTTAGAAAATGGAAGCAAAGGAAATGCTCATTCAGTACCAAATAAAGGAATACACAAACAATCGTAGATCACCCCTTCTTGGCATGGCAAACACAAAACAGCCAGCCTGCCTCGAGCAATTGCAACTCTAAAAAAACTCCAGAGAACTTGGCATGAAGAGTTTTCATCCACTTCCTTTCCAATACTTTCGTAATCTTAATCTCAAGAACGAAATATGATATACAGCTTTAAACCCAATACACTCAGAGGGCAGACTACAGAGAAAAGCATGATGAAGTGGGTGAGCATGACATGGGGAGAGAGCAAGAAACAAAAATGGGGAATGAGTACAAATTAAGTGCACAACAGCTGAGACTCAGAATGCTCCCACAGCAGGCAGCAGTTCATCAGAGCAGTCTCTATCAGCACGTAGAGACTCCTCTCCTGACTAATATGACCTGTCACAGTGCCTGGAGCCAAAGACTGATGAAAACTTCCTGCCATCTATCAGCCAGTTTGCTCAATTAGACTGTGAAACATCAGCTGGTCTTATAAACACGGGGGGAAATTCCACAAGCCAAACTAACTCTATTACTGGACATGAAAAGCTTGACACTTTGAATTCAAAATATGCTCAAAGCACTTGAATTCAAAAATGTACTCAAAACATTACTATTATTTTCTTTCTTGCCATTAAAGAACAAGTGCAAAAAGCACTCAATTCTATAATACTATCAGATAAAAAAGCAAAAAAGCTTTTGTGCACCTGTCAGTTGAAGACAAAGCAGCTTACACCTCTGAAGTGATGAAGTGGGGAAGTTATTTTTTGACACATTGAATTAAAAGTATCACAAAAATATAATACTATTTTTAAAACTGTCCCTGGTACAAAAAGTTTCCACCTAGATCAAGGGTTTATCTGGTTCAAGTTCCATACGACACAGCTAACAGAATATGACAGACAGCTGGCAATAAAATCACCAAGATTTGATCCTTAGTGATTCTCAACCTTTTTTTACATTATCTACTGTAGATTCCAGGATTCTGGTCCAATCTTAGCTGCTATACTTAAAAGAAGAGGTGCTGGACAAGGGTTTTTAAAATTACCTGTGGTTAGTTTAGATCTGACTTACCCAAGTATGATGTTCATATTTTTGCCATTTCTTTCTCCCACACACTCCATCAGATTTGGCCACCACACGAGGTATGATTCATATTATTCTTTAGAAATGTATTTTAGTAGACAAACTTACAACTGAAAGAGTTTTTGAGTTTTTAAAATAATTAATTCTTCAGTGAAAAAGATATACCAAATCACTTTATTGAATGCATTTTTTCTGCAGCAACTTTGCCAATTCACATTTAATTGCAGCTAAGACTGGTTTTTCTTATTTGGTATCATAATCTAGTAAAATTTTTTGAAGGAAAACAAATTTATCCACCTCCTACTGCCAAAAAGAAGAAAGTTCCCTTCAAAGAATTTCCTTCTAAGAATTTGGCATAATAGAAGGTATGGAGAATACAAGGAGGAACTCTTCCCATTGAAGGCAATGTCTCATCATTTCCTGCCATCCACTTGTGTATCCTTAAGTACCTACAAGAACACTGTGTGAAGACACACAGGGAATAAATATCCACAGCAACATAAACTCAGGTTAAATCAGGTGTTTATGTAGAGCTATACAAGTAACCAATTAGAATGCTAAGAGGTCTCCTACCAGCACTAATGGAAATTAAATGCATTCAGGGTAGGGGTTAAATATATCTGAAGAACACTTTAGAATCAGTTATTTTTCCATATGCAAGTTTGTCACTAACTCCTTGTTTGGAATTAAATTATAATTTCACCCTTTCTAAGGCTTTCTGAAAATTCCTTTAAACACATAGAGCAGTAATCAGTACACACACTTACAAACCAAATAAAAAAGCTAGAGACATCTGCACCCACATTTTTAAAACTACTGGAAATATTTAGAAATGCTAAGAGCAGCATTACTGAAAATAATACATACTAACCTTCTCAAAGGTTGCCTCAGCATCATCTTTATTTGTGTTTGGTCTTCAATTCTTAGTTAGATATTTTGGGTTTAAACTATAGCAAGTAAGGGCTTCCAATTCAAAAGGTAACGGGAATCAAGATGAGTACTACTGGTTCAAGTGATAGATGTTATTGATTTATTTATTTTTAAAAAGCTTTATTAGTTTGAAATCATGTGGTATCATAGAAATATTCCCTCATGTCCTAAAGATCTGCGACCTATTCAGAGAGCAAAACCTCTTTTTTGCAAACCCATTTACGTGATTTCTAAAAAAATACTTTAAAAAACCCTCACACCTATCAGAGAAGCAAATAACTTAGTCACCAACCAAACAAATGCTGCGACTACTACTTTTCCTGACACATACTTTTTGATTCTAATACAAACCTTGCCATCTGCTGTGATCTCTGACAAAATAACTGACTTCCGTTCTCAATCTAAGGTTTCGTTATGACAGTAAATGTCTTACATCTAATATTAAAAGTTACTCCAGTCCCACTGCAAGACTATACAGGCTTCTATGGTCATTATAGCCTCTTACAGAGGTATCAGAATATCCAGTTCTATGAATAAAGGACTTTATTTTCATAGCTATTGGTGCAAAACTTAAATATAAATAGATTGAAACATTCCAACAGAGCACAACTGTTTAATTTACAGAGAGGCTACACGAATTTTTGTATAAGCTTTTAACCATACATATTTCCAAGCTTCATTGTGACCTTAATGCTATAAAAACTAAGGAGATGTCCTTAGGATAAGAAAAAGTTGTAAGGATTCCAAGGAATGTGTCTCCAAACAAAACAGTGAGAAAAATAAAGTGCTGGTGTATTAAAACAGGAAAAAACCCACATTGAAAGCTAGTTTTGGGATGTAAGTATACAGCTAGAAGACAAAAGTAAGAACTAGATGCAAGACCTATGCCATTACTTCCACCTTAAAATGCCTACAAGAAAAAAAGCCTATACTGTGGTAGAGGGAAAAGTGTTGCTGCCAGAATGTTTGGCTTAGAACTTTCACAGGGCATTTTGCATCTAAAGCATTCTTCATAGTTAGTAGCTATTTTAAAAAACAGAATTAGGCTGTTGGACTGTTTTTTAAAAAAGAACAGACAAACATTTACACCAGCTGCAGCACATTCCCAAGTATTACACACTTGCAATATAATAAATGTTAATTACCTATTAGAATAAGCACAGTCTACTTTGTCTGCTAATGCATACAACTCAAGGGTCCAGCAAAAATGAGCATGCAAAGTTTTGCCATAATGCTAGAAAAGGAAACATGATTCTGAAAACAGATTACAATATATGGCACCTCAGTATATGAGTTTGATTTTATTTTATTGTCTCCTACCTGATAAATTCTAAATGGGATGTATCGAAATCCATTATCTTCTGGAGGATACTCCATGAGTTTTCGATTTATTGCCCAAAACTGCTCAAATTTATCTGTGAAGGTAAAATTAGACTCTGTCAATATCAATAACATTTTTTTTCAGCCTAAAGAGGTAAATGAGACACAACTGAAACATCATGCAAGCGTTTCTTACAGAAGTTTAACCTGTGTGAATTAATTTTTCCCACATTTCTCTTCCCTATTTAGCCTGAAGCCAAAGGTAGGTCATCTGCATTCTCCTATGAAAACAGTGATGTGGTGACTTATTGAACTGAAAGAGAAAGCAACTTCAACTCATATCTTATCTCCCACTGTTAAGGAAATATTGGGCTATAAATTATGGATTTCATTACCTCAATTAACAGTGCCTGTTTCTCCCTGCTGCTACTGGTCCATACTGTCTCCCAGTCCGCTAAAAACATCTAAGTGTTCTTAGCTATAACTGAACAATGGGTGTAAAGCATAAAGAAACTAAAGCAAGAGAAATACTTCTTGAGTGGTTTACGTTTGGATATGTAGATCTTAAAATAATCTGCAGCAATGCATGATATGATCAGAAAACATACTGCCAGATTCATGATACAACCTGAAAATAAAAGTTTATGCTTGTAACACATTTTTGTTATTATCCAAGCAAGTAGGGTAAATAGCCTGCACACCATTTCATGCTGCTCAGACACTACAAGAATGGAATAGTTTATTACATTTAAAATGTACTAATGACAGCATAAGTTTAAGAGTAATAAAGGCTTTCATACATGCAAATCAATTATTCAAATGAAGCAGAAGTGATAGAAAGAAATACAAAGAGCTAAGATGAATAAAGCTGGTGCTAGTCTTACTGAAGAAGGCAGCTTTAGAAGAGAAAGAGCAAGGGATCAAATTCCTTATAGGTCCTAACTCTCCCAAAACACCAAATACAGCAGATGTTTCCAAAGAAGGAACACAGTCTCCTATTTTCTCTCCTTGGTACAACGTTCAGCCAAGTCTCAAGAAGCTGGGCTCTTGCAGAATATATCCATTACAAAATTCAGCCCCAGCAAAACAAGGTAAAATTCAGAAATGTATTCACAGGAAAAATGTTCTTCCTGCTTCCAAAAGTGCTGATTACACTTAAAGCAATTGCAGGAAATGAGTTTGAGATTTGCTTCACTCCAGCATACAGCAGAGACGCCTGTCAGTGCACTAAAAGGCACAGGTTAGCATATACTTCAGGGTTTATAATACATTGCGTTTCCTGACTGAATGCAACACAAGGCAGGAATTTCCAAGAAACTGGGAACAAACTCCTGCCAGGTATGCTGTAGCAGCATTTCCTGATACTTATCTGAGAAAGTACTTCCACACCCTTGTTTCCTGATTAGCAGCAAGTGCCTCTTGACAGGCACTTACCTGAGCCAGAGTCAGCACCACCAGGCAGGCACCTGCCTGGCATCAGGAGCTGCCTGGATGCAGGGTGTCACCCCATCATCCACTGGGCTGGGAGCGACAGTGACAACCCTGGAGCAGACTGTAATCAAACAATCCCACATTTGGGAATCCCAGTCTACAGAGTCAGAGGTTTAATCTTAAATGTCCAACACAAAGGATGACTGCCTCCTCCTCAGAAACTCCTTCAGAGGGAAGGTGAAGATTTAGCAAGGTGAAGATTTAGCATGCTTCCTATTTTCTTTCAGGCAGCACTCAGAATGACTTGTAGCTTTCACTACAGATGTGTGAACAGACATTCCACAGCAAGCACTGATAGATTTATACTTCAATTACCACTTCTAACTCACTTGAGAAAACTGTTATGGTGATACACAAAACAATTCAGACCTACTCAAGCTAGTGAGTTTCAACAGACTTAAATAAGAAAAATCCATATTTAAAGACATCCTACTTGAACAGAAATAAAACAAACATTAACTTGATTTACTTGTTTAATGCGCGAATTACTGTAATTAGAAATTCTGTGTGAACAGTTTACTGTTCTCAAAATTCACCAGAAATGAGCATCACATCTTATGGATCAGAAGAAAAAGAAATTATGAACACCTAAAAGACTTATGTCAGAAAATTAAGCATATTAACCCTCATGGCATGCAAATATGGCAAACAAGAAAGGCTCCGGATGACAAAAAGAAGTTAAACAGTAGTAATGTGCAGTTAACTCACTTCTGTTCTTCATTCCTCACCTCCCACAAAACATGCTGGAAATCAGGTAATCTTATTTAAGGCAGTTAAAATTAAAAATTTATACCCCTCAGATCATTCTCTGAACACTCAGACAGTGCTTAAGACAATCTATTGTTCAAAGTTCTAATAGTTTCTGTGGTTTCCGAATATAATAGTGAATCTGCAACAATTGAATTATTAACTTGTTGCATTTTGTAATCAAGCATGTTCTGTCAATCCACCTGATATCCCAGGAATTTTAGCTAGACATAATGGAGTCAGATGTCTTAAGTTCTCCACTGTGTACAGCACTGTCTGAAGACCTCTAAACAAATTCCTCCTCACAACCTTATACTGCTGTCCTCCAAACATCTTTCCAGGGATACAGTATTTTCACCACAGGAAACAGAGTTAGGTGTAAGAAAACTAGACAAATTTTTAAAGCAAGCAGGAGAAAAAAAAAGTTATCCAGTTTGCATACTGATATATATGACCTGGCAAGAGCTTTTATCAGCAGAGCATTGGCTGAGTGCCAGAATCCTAAAGCTCCAAAAGTACAAAATCCAAAAGGGACTGCTTTTCAAAGAATCCTTAAGACTAAAAGCTTAAATAAACAAAACCACTGACAAATATCCACCCCAATCTCCTTAAAAACCTAAAGTTAAGGATTCTTCCTTCTCTCATTTTTATGTATCATACCCCCTATTTTTGCAAAGTCTCAAGGAAGTTATTAGTGCTACACTGAGCTGGAAGAACTAATTAGTTTATTGGCTAGACAGGACAAAGACAGAAGGCACTGGCCGGAAATTTAACAATCAAAACAAAACTGAGTTTTCATCAAGCCAGTAAACAAGGAAGAGTTCTCTACCTATCAGCAAAAGCACTTTACACACTTGTCTCCCTCCCTCGTAAAAACCTTATGCATTCTGCATGACATCTAAACCACTGTAACAGTCAAATCTGATTCCTTTTGTTTTTCACAGCTTGCTTGAAGTGTTAGAGAGTTTCTGTATTAGCAAAAAAAGTACTTGCAAAAGGCAGATGTCCCTATCTGAATAACAATATTTAAAGCAATGACAGTAAGATTTGAATAGAAGTGAGATTAGTGACATTATAGAAGTTTGATATGACTCCACTAATGATATTTCTTAAACAAGAGAGGATGATTCTACGTAAATTTGCCTAAAATGAAATATAAAAACTTTTCTATGTATTTTATGTCAAAGATCAGAAAGCTAATGACCACATAATTGAGAAATGTATCAGCCAAGTTGCTAATATTTATAACTATTTATTGCTTAGAAATGCAGTCACTGAATGCCCAAAAGACAGACATCAGCCTTCAGTACTACAGAGACACACAGAGAAACTATGACTTGGCAAAACTACAAAGAATTAATGTCACCCATGACAATCTGAGTACACAAACTCATTAAACAACAAAGCAAACTCAAACATAAATTTACAAATACAGTATGCCACATTATGCAGGTAGGATGCAGAAACCTGTCAGTAACATTATTCATGTATTTAAAGTATCCATTAAAACTGCTGAAAAAATTACTGATACAGGGAAACACTGGGAATTGTTGTTTTCTCCATTAAACCAGACTGGAGATCTGTGGAAACCCAGGGCACCAGGCATATTTCTCTGGCTGCTCTGGGGTGTCCTGACCCCCAGGGGAGCACTGACTTTGACCCTCATTCATGGAGGAAGTTTCCTAGACTTCAAGATAGACTAGAATCCACAAAAGTGTGAAACAGATTATAGAGAGTAGTGTAGGTCTATCACTTGGTGAGAAATTTAGGTTTAGGGATTTTTAGTACGCTGTGGATGGAAGCAAGATGGAGAGCACAGGGTGTTGTCCTGAGTTTTTTCTTCATGCTTCTTCTTCCTTCTTCTTCATGGGCTTGGGTGGCATTTTGTAATTGGGCAGAAAGGTCCGCATTGCAGGCTCTTTGGGATCAGTTATTGGGTTAAAAGGGAAAATAATCTAGCTGTCAGTTCTTAATTGGAAAGTTTAGTCTTAAAAGACCTTGTAATAAGACATTGTTAGCCATTTTGTGCTTTGCTAATGAAAAGCTGCCAAACTTACAGTAGTGAGACTGTTTTACTGGTAAGAAATAATAAACACCTGAGTCCGAACATGAACTACTGTCTCAAGTGCCTTCAATCCAGACCCAGAGAAACCCATAGAGATCCTTTAACAGTCATTGAAATTAATCCAAACTTATACCTTGTTATGTTAAAAAGTTATTGGTAATGCCATCATACTTTGTTAGTAATAGACAGCAATTGCTGAACCTCTTACTGTTGAACAGTGTTAACTAAGGATTAGTTCAAGCTAAGGGCTAAAAGGCTAAGGTCCCTTTTGCCCCTGAGTCTCAGCCTGAAATGGTCTTTAGGTAACCAGAAAAATTAGCTTCACTCATACTAGTCTCTTACAGTCATTTTCTGAAACTCAAGTGCTGTCACGCTTCAAACAACTTGAAATTTCACATGGATCTTTAAGTTAGACACGTCCCCTTCACCCACATGAGGCTAGAACAGGATGGATCACTGAGAGGGTAAAGGGCACTGCTCAAGTGCTCGCCATCAACATGTGCATTTCACTACAGCATAGCTTTAAATCTGCATACACAATCAATCTGGGCAATTACCACCAAATGGAAAAATACATCTACAAATACCTTGCAATGAAAAGCCCTGGTAAAAACATACAGACTATTAAAATGAAGTTCCCACTGCAGTGTAGTAGGTGAAAGAACTAAAAAACTCTACCCTAATCTTTAACCTTATCAACAAAAATATCGTAATAGTAAGGAACTATTTTGTTTCTGTATTTGATAGGGATGCAACTACCAGAGATTATCAGACTCTAGGACTGGACATATT